GGAAAACAAAGAACAGATCACACAAAGTCTTTAGATACGTGGCCAGTCCACATTTTGAACATGACAAGAGATTCTGAATTTTTGTAGAGCTACAAGGCAGGCACATTAAAACTGTGAGTATATCAGGCCAACTGACTACTGCCAATGGTGTTTTAATTTCTAGTACAGTTTAAGAAACCCACTTATGCCTTTTTCCCACAGAGATGCAGGGAGCACTGAGAAATTCTTTATTAGAAATAGAGAGGTGATTTTCGTATTGGACACCATTAGATTGGACTCTGAAGAATAATCTAATCCTGTGGTTAGGGAAAAAGACTGATTTTATGATTGAAATATCTTGCTTTATTGGGTGGGAGATCTAGATTTCAGTTCTAGCTCTATGATAGGCCTTATGGCCTTAAGGAAAAGCCCACAAACATTCTGGTAGGGCAATGTTCAGACTGTGGAGGGAAGCAATATGTCTAATGATGATATTTTCAATATGAGACCAAATCTAATAAATTCAACAGAAAGGCAAAAGAGTTGAGAGGAAAAAAAAAAAACAACTCTTTTTTAGTGTTTACCAAGCAAGTCATGTAAGAAAGATGAGTTCAGAGCAGGTTTCACCTACTTGAGCAAATAATGATGAAATTGCAGGCATCAAAGACAAATAGGAGTGATGAAACATGCATTAGTAAGACTTGGAAAGGCCTTTTTTTTTTTTTCTCTTCTCAGGTCTCTTCTCTGCAGTGAATGACTGTTTCCTTGCTTTGGTACCACCACATACCAAAACCCAGAATCCCTCTCCCAGTCTGCCTTCATTTCTCTCAGCCCATGAAGTTTCCTTCATGCCCAGCAGAGTTTCTTGCAGTAACCTTGCTCCCTAAGACCAGATCTCAGCTGACAGATAAAACTTAGCCAGAAGAAACATGAAACAAACTCAGGAGAAGATAGCAGGAACCCAGATAAAAACTGTTCACACCACAAATATCACTTCTGAAAGGTCCTTACCCTGGCCCCTACTGGCAGCTACAGACCCTGGCTCTGACTCAGCCCATCCCCTAAGTAAAACTTTCACAAAAGACAGTCTCCTTGAAGTCTGCTAGTACCACACTGAAATGGTAGATGGAAGGTTAGTCAAGAGCTCAAAGACCTAATGGAATTTTTAAAATTGACCAGCCCTATGAAAAACATTAACACTCAAAGCAGGGAAGCTTTTGAGCCATGCTGCCAGCTGCTGATTAGCCATCAGACACTCTATTAACGTTGGTCCTGTTGACCCCTCTGGCATGTGTGTGGCTGTAGCTGCCCATCTGCTGGAATTCCACTGTGTGGTAGCAAACGTGCCCAGAAGACATGACTGTTCATCCACACACAAGGTATCACAACATTCCCATAGTATTCTGGTGAGGTCACAGCACAGCCAAAAGATCCTGAGAAGTTCAGACACCTAATGGAATGAGATTACACAGCAACTGAGCTTGGTTTCAAAACTTGCTTTCAGTGTGGAAGCTTTGATATTGTTTTTCCTCTACTCTGGCAACTGAGATCATCTGGGACTACTGATCCAGAGTAACAGAAACAGAACACAAGAACTAATCTTCTGCTCAAGCCCAGCTTGTGTTCTATACTTTATTACTTTCTGCTGGGTAACCTAAATTCATGGAAGAAAGATATAATTTACTGTTCAAAAAATCAAGGGAAGAAGATGAGAGCCACCAAACACAGGTTTGCAGTGCTGTCATACAGACTGGGGTGGATGAGGAACGTAGGCAAGTCAACCAATGTGAGACAGAAAAGCTGGTATCAGAGTGAGAAAGAGGAAAAAGGAAGGAATATAAGAGAGGGGAACAAAATAAGAACCCACCAAGGAAAATCTGAGACAGATAACACAGAATATTATTAAACAGAGAATAATCATTACGATTTGTATTATGTTAAGAGAAGAAAAATGACAATGCTACCTCTATTTCTTTTTCTTCCACAGCTCAAGATTTACACCTGTTCTGGCTGTGTAGACATCATTCCTTCCTACTTAAAGGGTAATGGGCAATGCCAACCCTGTCCCTGAAGAAACAATTTGCTCAGGATCTCCCAAAGAAGCATCTGACAACTGCTGAGATTGGCATCCACAAAGCAACTTATTCAAGTACCTGTCACATAGGACTTCCCACTACCAATCCCTCATTCCATGCCTCAATCTATTCCCAAACAAGCAACCTCACAGTGATTTGAAACGAAACCTAATGGCACTGTCAAGAGAGGCAGCAGGTAGCACAGTCTGCCAAGCAGTATTCAACCTACTGAGGTAAGCAACTATTCTGACTCTCTTGTGCATCCTGTTCAAGGTACAAGAGCGGAAGAGAGAAGTTTGGTTCAATTTCTGCCCTGATCCCAGATGTGCTTGTTGACAGAATGACAAAATGGGGCTAATGCCTCACAAATCTTTCATAATGTATACAACACAGGTTTCTCAGGACAAGACAAAGAGTTCTCCTCTGTGTTCACATAGGGTAAGTGGAATACTTGGCACCACCTCTATCTTCTTCTTACTGGTGTGAAAAAGGAATAAATTATGTCAGGAGAGGGACTAACACTTATTACTCCTCTGCCATCACCTCTTCACCTCTAGCCCAGGGAAGCAGAAAACAGACAGACTTTGTGGAACAATCAGCCACAGAGACTCTTTCCTGAAGCTCATCTGTCATCCAGCCCTATCGAGAGGTTATGAGTACCACAGCAATATAGACCAGAGACAGAATAATTACTGAAAAGGAAACAAGGAAGTTTGGGGGAGAGAAGTCTTTTCTATAGGGAAACCAAGTAAACACCATCCAGAAAACAAAAGTCTGTGGAGAACAGCTGGTGCCCCTCATTCAGAGGGAAGGATGACAGCCTGTCCTTTGTTATCCCAAAGGCCACATAAGAGAGGAAGCAGCTGATCAGTGGGAGGCACAAGGACAGCAGCCATAAGGAAACAAGTATTGTAGCTCAAGATGAGAAAGAAAAGAGAAAAAAAATGTTGGGAAAAAAACACTGAAGAATATCCTGTTTATTTTGTAGACAGAGTTGAAACCTACAGCTGGGCAAATCCTAAACACCTTCAATAACTGAGAGATTCAGATAGAAATCATGCATGACCAGGCTCATGCAAGGAAATAATATTCCATCTGGGAGAGAAGAGAATGATTTTTGCCTAGTGTTTCTGTGGCATGGCTGGTTGAGTTTGAGTACAGTCTCCTTTCCTCGACACTGAATAGGACTGAGAAAAACTCTCAACTGATGCTTGTTATAAAAAGGGGCTGCTCTAAACAGCTATTTTTCATCCCTATAGTTATAAGCACTAAACCCAAAATACAATCATAGTATGTTCTTCCATTTTTACTTCTCCATACAGCTGCAGCCAAAGATCTCTTTCCTTATGACTTCTGCAGCTTCTCATGTTTATATCCTCACACACCATAATTCCCTCCACAGCAACACTGCAGAACATCACACTTGGAGAATATGCAAACAAGGATACATCTATAGCTTTCTTCCCGTCTCAACATCATCAGGCATTTTACAAATGAGCATCACAGCAGCCCCACAAAGATGAGTGTTCATTAAACTCTTTCAGCAACATTTTGTTCAATAAGGAAAGAAAGCAGAGTTTCCAGTCAGATTAAAAAGCCATACATGCTGTTACAGACTTTTCTGAGTTTAAAAAATCATTACTCTGTTATTGGTTTTTTCTACATAAGTTTGAACCATTTGCCTTAGCAAATGTAGCAGAACTGGAAAATACTGTTTCTCCAGATTCTGTTGTTTCAAAATATCACTATTCTTCTTTTATAAGCCTATGGTTATGCAAATCCCCCAAAACTATTTATACAAAATATAAAATAGGAGAAGAAAAGTAGATAAAAGCATTATGGGCTTGCTCTGAGTGGAGTGTGTGCCATTTCTCCCAACCCTGATGAAGATTTACAGACTCACAGTGTTTTCTTTCCATATCACACCCTCAAACATTTGCACTAGAAGCACAAACCCACTTGGTAATAGATACACACTGTTAGTGTCATGCAGAAATGATGCCTCATCTCAGAACATGTCATGTGGCTGACCTGCTCCATCAGGAGTGATGGTTCCCAACTTCACTGCCAGGGGATAACCTGTCTCCTTGTAGTGCTCCATTGCATGCCCGTTCCCCCCACTGCCATCAAAGAACCACTTTCCACACAGCACAGAACCATCTGTCAGGTTTAGCCACAGATTCTCCCGCAGGTCACACTTTGAGCATTTCCAACCACTGCAAGAGAAAACAGGAAGAAATGACAGAAATAGGCAAGACAAGAACCAGTCCTGTATTTCCCATTATGGTAGGTCAAACCAACCCACACACCCAGCCCACAATCATGCAAGGGAGTTGTGGGCTGAGTGTCTGGCTTTAGTTCAGTTACTCTGGACTGTACTAGAGAGTCTTACAACGAACAAACCTTATTACCCTCACCTGGGGGGAATTCTAACACCATTGTCTAACTGTACAAGTGTTTTGGCATGTTTAGACGCCTGCAGCTCTTCTTCCCAGGAGTCAGGGTGCTGCTTCCTGTAGGGTGATTTTGCACTGAGGAGTGCATCACAAGCTATCGTCACCTGGAAGACAAATGTATGTCAATCAAAACCTAACAGGATTCAGTGACTGGACAGAACTTGGCATTCAGCCTATTGCTAACCACATACAGAACTGGTTATCAGTAAGACTATTTATATACTTAAATATGCATCTAATCTTTTAGACTGACGTTATTATTTTAGCAGGGCAGTAAGCACATGTACTATGTGAGCTTTCCTAGGACAAGCTGGCGCCATAATAAGGGAAGGGATACAGGACAGAAAAGGAAATTCAAGAAACAAAGACAAAGACAACTTTTTAAAATTACTGACACTCCATTATAACTGGTTAAGAAAGACCTTCATGTCCAAACAAGCACCACACATAAGAAAACAAAACACCATCTTGATAAAAACAGAAACAAGAGACAATTCCTACAACCACTTCCACACACTCACTGACCAGTGCTGGTAACTCTTCTATATTGGGTAATGAGATTTCATAGTGATCAGGAAATATAATAAGTTTTGCTTCATCTTCATATTCAAAGTCATCACTGTTGAGATCACTGTTTATCTCTAGATCTGGAAAACAAGATGGGGAATGTTAGGAGATTGTCCTGTGATCGAGGCTCTGAGATTGTGGCAGGGGTAACACTCTAAGCACTGTTTGCCTGGCATGCATCAGCCTGCATATGTTGACACTGTCAGTAGTTTCTTTTGGCTAGAAATGTTTGTGAATCCTAATCTGAAATGAAATCCAACCATCCTGCAAGAGGATGTTCTGAGGACCAGAATTCCCACTTAATTTCATCCTCAATCACAGATGCAATTGATTTGGCCCCTCTCCAAGCAGTGCACTGTTGCACTATTGCAGACATTGCACCCTGCAAAGCAGCTAACAAAATTCTGCTTAGTTTGGACAAAACCAGCATATGATACTGCTCTGCCTTTTACCCAGGATCTTGAAACGCTATACAGTACGGAGACCAGGTCACACTACACATGCCTAAATTGCAGAGCACAAATAAAAAGAGCACCCCATATTTTCCAGATCACAGACCTGGCTGAAACGTGCTATGGCTCCCATCCACCTTGCACCTGTGGCCTTTCCTCCCATGAAGATGTCCATGGCTGGAAGCCTTCCTGCATCTCATCCATAGTCTCAAATAGCTACAGCAAGTACAGTAATAAAAACATTATCCCTCTCTTGCTAACTCCACTTCTTACCCAGTGTAACTATTTGTTTAAAAAGTACTCATTCTCTACTAAAGCTTTCCTCTGAAGATCAAGCCTTTCACAGTGTTTGTGCACATTCTTCTTCTAGTGTAAGGATGACTTTTTTCTGCTTAAATATGAGCCTTGATCAAACAACAGCAGCTAAAATGCTTGTCTAGAAATATGTGGACCCAGAGAGAAGCCAGGAGGGTATATCAGGAACTATATGGTTACTGTTCGTATCTCTAGCTTCATGAAAAAATACACTTATTAATTAACATAATTATCACATAGTGACAAAATTGAGTTAAAATAGCATGTTTCTGTTCTTTCCATGACAAATGAAGAAGTTAAGACCAAACATGTACATGCTGTGTCAGACATTTCACAAGACTCAATTGCAAGAATAGCCCAGGCAACAATGGGATCTTCTAGAATCTCTTACCATCTGGAGATGAGGGATCTACTGTATTCTGATGTACCAGACAGCCACTGACAAAATAAGGTTCAACCAAAAAGGAGATGCATTAGCTGTGGCCAAAGCTCTTGTTTTCACTCCAAGTACATGCATATACTTAATGACTCACTCAATACTAAACAAGCATTGGCAGCAACCACTGCACCCTGGGAATGCCTGAAATCTCAAATGTATGTTTGAGAGAGGTGAGGGTGACAGAAGCCAGATTCAGAAAACTAAACTCTCTGCTTGTCCAGAAGGCAGTAACACACTGAACAACTTGAATGATAAAACAAGTATCAAAAGGTATTTTAACATGCAAGGTCAGGAGCTGGACTCAATGACCCTTTTGTGCCCCTTCCACCTCAGGATATTCTATGATTTGATGATTCTGTGATCCGTAAAGAACACCTCTTGAGAGGAATATCACTTTCTGGCTCACATGCTGTACCAGCCACTCCTGAGGGGTGACAACACCCACCATCAGTGGCTTCCAGCAGCACAACCAACAAAAGTCTCTTTCCATCAGCTGAATATAGGCACAAAAGCAAGAACTTTTTCTCATGCTAAAAGCATGACATTTATAATGAAAGTATTAATCCATTACTAACTCCCTAAATCACACTGTTTTCATAATGATCCCTTCCCTAACTGCAGCATAATAGAGATCACCAGAGACTTCACTTTACTCCAGGCTTCTCTCCCAGCTTGTATCACAGTCGTGTGTTCAATAAAGGAGTGAATCTCCTGAGACGCAGTCTGTAACAGTTCTTTTACTCTAAGAGGCAAAGAAACAGAGTATCTCCAAGCTGATGATACATGTGGCAACGAATCACAGAGAATTTTCACTTAATGCCCAGCAATTTGGTGGTGGCCAGCATAGCAAAGCCAAAAGTACTGACCATCTCCTAAACAGGACAGAGGTTCCTCAGAGAGGATAAAAACTCCGTGTGTGTTCAGCCAGGTTTGGAGGCAGCAAATGCCTTTTCAGGCTGCAGCCACACACTGCCTCAGCCACCAGAGGGAACCTGGCACCATCACACCCGCCACTGGGATCTGTGGACACATGTAAGACCCACTGGTATCTTCACTTCCTTGTGATACTGACATCAAGTTTATAGTATTTACAATCTGCTATGTAAAACCAGCAATTATAAGGTTGCCTGTGTTCAAAATTCAGACACTGCAGCTCATCTCACAAGCCAGACAGTAAAGACTATACTGCTACTGACCTGACCTGCATTTGAACCAGTGATCCAGGGATGAAAGACTGAGTATCCTATTAGCAATCATCTGCTGCCATGTAAGGACTTCACATGCTTAGGAGCATCAGCCTTCTATGTGCAATGGGTAGGGAGGGAAAATTCCTTTTTACCTTCTCAGGCTTCATACCATTGACATTAGCAGAAAAGCAGAAAAGAGTGTCCCATCAGGATGGGACTCTGGATGTCTGACACAACAATATGGCAGCATCACACTTCTTATTTTAAAGAAAGATACAAACAGCTTCGTAACAGTCCCGGGAAACTCAATGAAGATTTAACCAGCAATTCCCCTTTTGAAGGTGACCATGTAAAGCTGGGATACTTCCACCCACACAGCTACTCCCTCTGACTAGGAATTGAAAAGGACTGCCAGTGCTTCCTGGCAATTATCATTCTGAAGACAGTTTCTCAGGGTCCAGTACATCTAAGAGTGGAAAGGACATCTAAGGTCACTGACTGAAATCCCTTGATACAGCAGACGACTATATAAACTAATCCCTTTTGTTGACTGCCAGAGAGATCTGTTCATGATGCCAGTTGAAGACCCCCAAATCACTACTGACATTTCCAAATCTTGGCTTGTATGTGATGAGAGTCAGAGCTGTTAAGGTCAGTAACAAGTTCTACCTTCATTATATTTTCTGTGCCTGTGCAAGGGCCAACATGGATGAGAAAGCATGAGGGTAGATATAATAAATACATATGACTGTTACTTGGGATGGCAATGGAACCCACAATAAATGAGGGCAGAGGTTGACCCTGTAGCCACTGGGCATCATGTGCAGTCTGCAGAAAGTTTCAGACCAGTGCAGAATTTGAGACAGGAATAAAAGTAACTACAGGAAAGAGGAGCAGGGGGAAACCTACTTGCAAATGGAGCATATTTGATTAAAAATTAACCAAAGGCACTGAAAACCATGAACTTCCAAGTACTATACTTCATACAGAGCTGTTTCTTGGACAAGGATGCCCTTTTCAGATGCACTGTGAGTAGAAGACAAAAAAAGGCTTGACTCAGTTCTAGGACTGAATCACAAGACAGCCAACCAGTCTGTAGTCTTTTCAAAGAGCTGACAGCTTGATTCGCAATGTCCTTACGACATTGTTTCCCCTCTAGAGGACTAATAGCTTTCTGGTGCCTCCTCAGAGTACCAGTTAAACACTGCAGCCACTAAAGCAAAGTATCCATAGGCTGCAACTGTTGGGTTGGAAGGCCAAGAGACAGGCAAACCAAAATAACAGACACATTAAAACAGAGACTCAACTGATGTTGCTATTTTGGGCAAGTGTTCAGTAGAGTAAATTTACTCCACCTCACAGGCATCACTTAGTGACGGTGAGAAATGCACTGCTGCTGAACTGACTGAAAACAGCAGCTGGAAGACAGAGTACTGTAATGTAAACCAACCCAGCAGAGGGAAGAAAAGGAGTGGATGTGCCCAGATCAGATTTAGACAAGTTACCAACTGACTGCACTAATAATAGTGGCACAAGGAGACTCCAGGCAGGACCCCCCAAACAGGATTTCCTGTGCATATGGATGTGTCTGTGTGCGTGTGAAAGGGAATACAAACAGAAAAATTGAATGAGGATGTTGACTAGTGAGTCTACAACTAATTTTGAAACCCTAGAAAGGCATCTTAGGAATCTGGGCTTGATCCTGCTCTCATTGAAAGCAATGGACAAATTTGTATTGGCTTGGAAGTGGAGGCCTGAGTCTTTAAATTAAATAGTTTCTTCCTGAATAATAGTGAATTGCAGCAGCAGCACTTTGCAAACTATAAGCTATTCAGTACTTTTGTCTTCAGGCACATCTGAAACACTGGTCTCATCAGATGTGCCATAAAAAAGAAGAAATAATTTTAAAATAAAAATAAAAATCACTTTACAGTCAAAACATTCTCCTCTCCAGAAAAAGGAAAAGCAAGACTTTCTAGCAGGATCATTTGGATGATTCACTACTTGTACAACAGCATTCTAATTGCTTGCAATATCTCCAAAGCATTAGTATGCTGCTCTTATTGCTAGGTTAGACCTCACACCTTGCATTTCTGGCACAATCACATCAAACAAACAAAACAAAATCACCAAAATTCAGATTCTGAAGTATACTGATAGCAGCATTAGCCTGTGTTAACCTAGCCTAATTTTCACAGTTCTACCCAAACCAGCAAATTATGGTTTTAGACTCCATTGGTGTAACGTATCTGCTCACCATTCTATATTCAATTCAAGCTTATATGGCAAAGCCAGAAAGCAAAAGGTTCACTCATGGTCTACTCTACTGCTACTGCTGGGAGTATACACAAGTTTGGTGGGCTAAACTGTAAAAAGATTGCCATGAAATGCTCAAATTCTCCTAAATCACAACTTTTCATTCATAGATAAATAGCCTGTATGTGCTTACTTGCATAAATATAAACTTACACCACTCATGGTAAAAGTGAAAAGAGGGTTCTGCTCCAGCCTATGAGACCTGGGAGAACTAAGTGAAGCTGTGGCACTCTTAGGAATGGTCTTTACACTTAGAAACAGTAGCCATGAGTTCATTCACTGCCACAGGCAGGCAGGTGCCATCCAGGAAAAGCTCAGCAAGTTTACAAGTTCTCCCAGACTCTTCAAATGGAAGTTTTCCCTTCTGAGACCTTCTGAGACCAGCTGTGTGTTATGGATACTGCTCCTCACTGACACTCTTCTCACCAGCAATCCTCACAGACCTGCTGACAGAGCTGCTCGTTTGAGGACTTCAAAACACTTTTAATTGATGGTCTAAGTTAGCCCTGACTTTGCTCAAAACAGAGCTCCCACAACTTGCTGCACTGGTAGAGAATGCTCTGGTAACTGATCTGGGAGAGATCTCTCTGCAGACAAGTTTTATGACAGCCACTCTGCCAGCTCTGTTTAGCCTAGGGTCCAGGCTCTGGCATGGACCAACAGATGCTCAGGAAGAGGGTACCAGAACAAGGAAAAACATGATGATTCCTGCCTCACTGCATACCTCCTAGCTTCCAAATAACTACCTGGGGTGTTTTGTTTGCTGAAGGTGGGAAGTGTGTGTTTTCTGGTTGGTTTTGGAGACATAAAAAGATAGACTGTGCAGATGTAGTCCCTCTGTTCAAAAGAGAGGTACACTTCCTATTTATAAAGCAAAATAACAGAGAACAAAATATAAAATGTAGCTCTACTCCTGATGTTCCACTTGACAGTTTCACTGCTGCTGACAACTGAGCTGACATTTTCAGAGAACCCTTGATGCACCTTTCAGAACAGCCACAGGTAATTCAGAGCACATCCCCATGTACACACTGTTAAAGCACTTTGCCTTCTTGGCATTTTTCAACACTTACTTCATCTATTGTTTAGTTACTCAGTAACACATTAAAAATTACTTTTAATCTCTTAGATAATTTTAAATGAATCAGCAAACTCTATTTCCTCATTTTTCAAACCCTTTCCAATTACGATCACATTAATTCTTCAAAGTTAGGACATTATGAAGGACTCTGCTGATAACTCCTGGGAGTAACATATCCAGGAGGACTCTGCTGGTAACTCTACAGTAAGAACTGGGCCTCCAGTCCCTTCAGTACCAGAATCTTCCCTCTTATTCTACTACCCCTTTTGACAAGGAGCTTGTAAGGAAGATCATAATACATCCCATTAACTGAGTTTTTCTTATTCAGACATGTAATATTCAGTGATTATTACACATAGTTCCAGAGTGTTCTGGCAGACCTTGAAACTTTTACACTTTAGAAAACCCACAATGGCTCTGTTCTCTCATATTTATACAACTTTCTATGGGCTAATTTGAAAATTAAATTTAGTGATGATACTTTTCCTAGTCCAATCATGTCCCTTTTTTCCCAAACTGGTATCATATTTCCTATACTGTGGCTGATATAAACATGAGGTTGCATACTAAAGAAAACAAACAGTGCAGCTGCCTCTTAACCAAGAGCCTTGTGAATTCATGGTGAGCTACTATCTTGTTCCTTTAATTAGTTTATTTCCATTTTACAAACTGGATCTAAAACTTCTTTGTGTGATAGCCACATACATTACGAAGCACAAAATATCTTCAAACTTGCTAGCCTAGATAACACAGCAGTGAGGATACTCCTCTGTGCATCCTGGTGCAGACAATCTGCTTTAAGTATCACCCCAAATCCCCTGAAAGCTTGCATAGCCTGAGCTGAAGTTGTCATGTCCACACTGTCCAGCAACACCTAAACAAGCTAGATTAAAGGCAGTTCATACATTTTAATAAACACTGTTGTTATGCTTCTTGATTACAGTCAACACCCTCCAGACTTCTGCACAAGAAAACCAAAACAAAATATGCCCAAAACTTAATGCATGCAAACACATGCACACACACTTT